CACATTTAATTAAACTTATTAAATTTTCAATAATAGATTAACTAACACCATTGCATTGGTTTACTTATTGTCCATTTTATCATTTTGTTGGTACTCTCTACATTGACTAGTGTCCTATTTTTTACAATTACAACATATTCTTCTAGGGCATAGTTTGATTCTCCGGCTTAATTTGGCTCCGAACATTTTTTTTAGGCGCTCTACCATTTTTTGTTTTTTTTTTTTCGAATTCTTTTAATTTGAAATTAAATCCCTAATAATGGCAAATTTTCGTTTTTCGTATCTTCATGTAAAAATGATGAGATTAAATTTGTTGAGAGTGTTGTTCTTTATTATTATTATTATTATTATTATTATTATTATTGGAGTAAATTATATTTACAATGCATATGTTTTAATACAAGGGCATGAAATAATTTATATATATACATATATGTGTGTGTAAATTTGTATGTTACTTTCATATTAATCAGAACAATATAATGGTGTAGAATAGTGATTATATATATATATATATATATTGTCAATACAAATATATTATTATTATTATTATTAGTAGTAGTAGTAGTTGACTGTTGTGTGTATAATATCGATGCCTTTTTTTTAAGGTTTCTTTTGATGTCACACTATTTATATAAGAAAAAAATCTTAAATATTATTAAATTAAATATTTATTTTTTATTTGATATATTATAAACATAATTTTTATTGACAATATTACATAAATATACTAATTTTAATTTTAATGTATACTATTCTTAAATTCTAAATCCAAATTCAAATATTAAAAGAATACAATCCATCTACCTATGAATTTTATATATATATATATATGATATTGTATATTTAGTTATGCATGCGTGTGGGTGTGTGTGAATATATATATATATATTTATATCATAACATATATATGCATGGACATCAAAATGAGGTCAGTGCTGACCGAAACTCCACTTAAAAATTCACTTAAAAATTTTATGCTTAAATTCTTATAATATTCGAAACAATATTTGATATCGACTCTTTGAAAACTGCCTATGGTTTGCACTTTAAATATCATCACACTTATTAGATTTTTTTTTCTTTAAATATATATATATATATATATTTATATTCCACTTCTTGTTGTTGTTGATAGAGACGAGAATGTATATAAAGTAGTATGTAAAGTAGTAACATATTTCCACAAAATTTGAGGCTTATTTGGTCATTTGTCATTACCAAAAAAATTCAACTTCTTAGGAACCATTAGGGTTGCCAATTGCCAAATATATTGATTGGAATAGGTAGGTGTTGATTATGGTGTATCATTGATTATATTTGAATTAATCCCTTCCCTTCCCAACCAAATAATATAAATATAAAATAAATAAAAATAAATGTATTGGGCTTGGCAATTAATGGGCCAGTTTGAAAGGCATAGAGTACCTCGGCTTTGGTGACTCTTTTATTTACTTATCTTGTGATATTCTTCCATCCTAAACAACTTTACAGTTAAGTGACAATTTTGTTGATTAAGACAACATTTGAAGTCCAATTAAGGGTTAGTAAAGATACATGCACAATCCTGAATTGTTTCTGCAGCTATTGATTTAGGGTTTGTTCTTTCAACAAATTTTTCCGACTTGATTCTCGATATATATTGTAGACACTAAAAATATATGTCTAAAATTAATTAAATATCTATATTTTGGAAGAAAATAAAATTCCAATAAAATAAATATATGATATTTAATTATGCACATATGCTAATTTTTTATAATAAATATCAACCATTAATGCAAGAATCTGCTTAAAATGGAATATATCGTACAATACATGCATACATAGAACCATAATAAATTTGACAGCAAAATAAATTAATCTTGTCAATAAAGGAAGTATATAAATTAATATCTTACGAAAAAGGGCAATGATATAAAGATCTTGGCGGGAAAGGAAGGTGCACAATCAAATCCGTCAATAATGGAAAAGAGCATCTGATGAAAAAGGAAAGATTATTTCTATTGGCCAATCAAAATGCGCCACGTGGCACCATTCAAAAAGGAAATCGAAGCCACCCCTCCCCTATAAATAGGAGCCATGGTCAGTTCATTTGAGACACCGAAGTTGCATTGAAGATTCAAGCAAATAGGTAAGTCTCTAGACTCTCTCTGTATTGTTCATGTTTTTTGTGTCATTCGAAGCGTTCTTCGTCGAAAGTCACTGATTTGGATAAATGATCCAATATTGGTTGACGAATCGATGGAATTAACGTTCTTCGTCGTATGCCCGAGCCAGAGGAAGGATCAAAGCTCTCAAAGCCGTTGAGGAATTCATCAAAGCCAAGGGAAGGTCTCCAAAGTTCCTTTCAAAATTTCAAGATGTTCATCGCGTTCTTTAACAAAGCATTAACTCGGCCCTCTTCGATCCAAAAGTCAAAGGGACATGCCACCAAAAGCGTTATGGAGCACCAAATCCACCTCTTCAAGGATCAAAGCTCTCAAAGCCGTTGAGGAATCCATCAAAGCCAAGGAAGAGCATCCAAAGTTCATCCTAAAGCTTCGAGGAGTTCATCGCGTTCTTCACCAAAGCAACAACTCGGCACTCTTCGATCCAAAAATCAAAGGGACATGCCACCAAAAGTGTTATGGAGCACCAAATCCACCTCCTCAAAGATAAAAGTTGCGGATCGTCCAAAAAAAACATCAAATCCAAAACCAATTATCAAATCGCCCACACGGAGACCAAAGCCCTCCAAACGGCAGCAAAGCCAAACCAAAGATCAAAGTTGTGGATCGTCCAAAGAATACATCAAATCCAAAGCCAACAATCAAATCGTCCACACGGATACCGAAACTCTCCAAAAGGCGGAAAAACAAACCAAAGATCAAAGCCACAGATCGTCCAAAGAAGACACCAAACCCAAAGCAGATGATCAAATCGCCCACACGGAGACTAAAGCTCTCCAAAAGCCGGCAAAGGCAAACCAAAAATCAAAGTTGCGGATCGTCCAAAGAAGACATCAAATCCAAAGCTGACGATCAAATTGACTGCACGGAGACCAAAGACCTCTAAAGTCTGGCAGAATCAAACCGGAAACCAAATCTTTTCGGATCAAATAAGCCATAGAAAACCAAGTTGGAAAATAGATCGACCCGAAAGGAGAATCAAATGACCCATTAGAGAATATGACTCACTTTAAATTCAAATCAAATATAATTTGTACAAATTTTTGTGATTATTAACAATAACATAATTTTTTGTCCACATATATAATATATGTTTTATCATTTCACAAAAAATTCAATATTCAATATAAAATATTAATTTATATATAACCTACATAATCTGGTTATGAAATTAAAACATTGTAAGTAAAAAAAATAAAGTCCCTTGAAATTTGTATTGTTTGCACTAATTATATTTGCTATTGTCAAAGTTTTTGGTTATATTTGTTATTGGCAAAGTCTCTTCAAATAAAAACTCCTAGCCAATGATTCATTTCAGAAGTGAACTTCGGATTTGATCATCGATTGCATATTTTATTTTATTGAATCTTTTGATAAATTGGTTATAGAAGCCGACAGCGTGCCCAACTTTCAATTTTTCCTTACTTAATCGTTAATTAATGTTCGGTCGTTGATTAATTCTCTAATTGAATAAAGAAATCCAGGTACGCCTACAAATTTGAGTTTTTCAATCGCATTAAACTCTAGAAAAACCCAATTATGATTCGCTAATTTCTACGCATGATTATCGTAATCATATCATAAATTCTTAAAATGGTTTGTAAGCATCTTATTGTCACTAAATCAAACGATCGCACAATTACGGATGCAATTATTCAATTGATTATAGATTATTAATTGAATCTAAATATTTGGCTACAATACTCGATTAAGATAATAACCTTAGGCATACTAAGAAATTTTACGAATACAAAAAAAAGTCAATAGAAATTATAAATTGAAGAGTCAATCTAAAAAACCATGAAGTTCAAATTGTCAATCAATCTTTAGACTAGATAAAAAATTTAGCTACTTATTAGAAAAAAATAAAAAAAGAACGTAAAAGGAAAAGAAAAGCATCCGCGGGAGTTTTTTTTTTAGGATGCTGTCGATTCGTCGTTTTCCTCCAACATATATATATATATATTATAGCTCGAGTTGTCTATATAAAATTCTCTCTTATAAGTAGCTTAAGAACACACCAATTTAATCTTTATGATTGGTTTGGAATTGGCTTAAAGGAGAAGGAACTGATGGTTCTATCTCTATTGTATAATCTTGCAATTGTTTTTCTCGTAAAAGTAATGATGGTAAATTGGAAGTATTTGTAAAAAAAAAAAATGAGATATTTTTGAAATAGTTATTTTTTAGTTGGATAATTCAAAATATAAATATATATTTTGTAAATAAATGAAGGAAATATATACTTTGTATTGGAATTGACCGAATATTTAACATAAAAAATTGATACAAAACTCAACACAACTGCAACTAGAGCTATTAACGAGCTAAAGAACAATTTTAAATGTTCATATTCGGTTGTTAACATTCGTGAAGAAGACTCGTGTTCGTTAAGATTTCGATTTTATTCGCAGTGTTCGAGCTCGATTCGTTAAAAAAATTTTATTGTTTAAGTTTGTGTTCGTATTCAGGTTGACTAAGTTTATTGAAATTCGTTTGTCTCATTTTTTTTAATTTCATATATAAATTAAAGTAGATACTTGAAATTATTATATTTATTTATTTATAAATTATAATTTTATATGTATATATATATTATTTATAATAAATATTTCATCTCTTTCAATTCAAATTATATATATAGTTATTATTTATTACTTTGTATGTCACACTCAAAAATATATTTTGTAATTTTACTTATATTACAAACATACTAATATTATATATACATATTTTATATAGTTTTTTTTTTTAAAAAAAAAATCCCACAAATTAATCATAATAGTATATAGGTATAGCTGAGTTGATGTCAGCCAAAAGACAAAGCTAAGTATGAGAGGTATTGCACCTCCTTGCACTTGCACGCCACCAGGCACCAGCAGCCGGAGGATAAGCTCCATTTCAAAAAGGCAGGAGGAGGAAGAATCTACGCCAATGCTGCGCCCCCATCCTCTCCTCCGCTTCGAATCTCTCCCAAACCTTCTTCCCTCCCGATTTCCCCTCTCCCTCTCCCTAAATGGACCCCGAACCTTCAAACCCTGCTCTCCTCCGCGCACTCTATGCACCGCCTCGCAATTTGAACTGGATCTGGACCGGATGCTGGCCGTTCTGACGGAGGACAAGCGGCGGATGCTGGCGGAACATCCGGAGTTCGGGGATTTAATAGAGGTCGTCATAGACTTGGGGCGGAAACCGTTGGCTCGATTCCCCGATGGGGATCTCGTCCTGTCGGAACACCCCATCACCGTGGAGGATATTCAGCACGCCGTTTCGCAAGTGCGTACGCTTATTCTTTGTTTGTGTTCTCCCCGTTTAATTTGTGTTTCATTGACACGATGAATTTTGCAATGCCTGTCGATGCCTTTTCCCCCAATACATCACATTTGCATACACGAAATTACGATTACATAGAAAGAGACATTTGTAAATCATCTACGGCTAAGATGTAATGTTAGGTATTAATGCAAGCAGGTTGGGGACTTTGCAGTTGATAATCGAGCTGGAATCAGCCGCACATTGCATCGTATCAGTGCCATTAGGAACCGGAAGGGAAAAATCATTGGTTTAACTTGCCGTGTTGGTCGGGCTTTGCCAGGAAGTGCTAACTCTTTGCGAGATTTGATTGAGGATGGAGCGTCCTTGTTGCTGATCGGGCCTCCCGGGGTTGGGAAAACCACAATAATCAGGTGAAAATATGCATATCTTTGCACAAAGGTTTACTAGTGCTTTACTTTGTGAGAAGCTGATTATTCAGTGTTTGAAAGTTATCCGAAAAGCAGTGACTATGATCTAGAGACTTATTTCATCCTACTTTCTATGCTCGTGATTAGGATAGATACATTGTTGCCTCTAGAGAAGCTTAATTAGTTAGTTGCGAATGCTAATTTGTTAAGAATTAAGTGGATTGATGATAGAGAGCATATCATTTGCTGGAATCAAAATATCTTCCATATTGGGGTCACAATTTGTATCAATTAGACGAATTGTTGGATGAAAATTGCCATCTCGAACTACAATTAATTTATGTTTAATCTTGAAGGGACATAGCTCGCATGCTTGCAAACGACTATAAGAAGCGTGTAATGATTGTTGACACGTCAAATGAAATTGGTGGCGATGGAGACATTCCTCATGCAGGGATAGGGGATGCACGTCGGATGCAAGTCCCTCATTCTGATGAACAACATAAGGTATGAGAATCACTTGTCTCCTTCTGACCAACCAATGAGACGTTCATAATTCAAAGAAGGCTCATTACTCGAAGCGTAGAAGTATTCACATAATCTGGTTTCCTCTTATCTACATTATGTTGCATGTTTTGTGGGCTGAACATTCTAAGCAACCTATGAAATGTACACCATCAGATCTTCGTCGTTCTTTCCTGTAGGTGCTGATAGAAGCTGTCGAGAATCATATGCCACAAGTGATTGTGATAGATGAAATCGGTACGAAACTTGAGGCTGCTGCTGCTTGTACTATTTCACAGCGTGGAATTCAGCTTGTTGGAACGGCTCATGGTGTAACGTTTGAAAATGTGGTGATGAATCCTGCTTTAGAGATGCTTGTTGGAGGAGTGCAGGTAATTTTATGTTTCTCGAGCAATTTAAACACTGCGATGAATCTGTCTTCGTCGCAGGGTTTGAATTCTGCCAAATATCACTTTATAGTGACTCTTTCTCAGAGTGTAACATTAGGAGATGAAGAGGCAAGTAGAAGACGCGTTCAGAAGACAGTGTTGGAGAGGAAAGGACCATCGCCTTTCAGTTGTGGAGTAGAGATAATTACTAAGGCTGAACTACGAGTTCATCGTCATTTAGAAGCGACAGTAGATGCTATACTTCAAGGTTTTGAGTTTCTTCTTCCACATGACATATGATGTTTCGACTTTCTTGGAAAACTTTTCTATGATTGCCTTATTGCCATGTCTGGTGTGAGCAGGGCGTAGACCAAATTTTGAGGTTCGCCGAACACACCCGCGGCCATCGGATGAACTTGAATCAGGATCACTCATCTATGATTCCACTGAGCCAAGTACGAATAATGGTATTGACGATAAATGTGAAAACAAGGATGTTACCCCTAATGACGACGAAACTGTTGCAGAAGAAAATTCATTGAAAGACAAGACTGCTCTGTGTATCTTCCTTTATGGGGTACGCATTGTGGTCAAATTTTTGTTCATAATCGCGGAAAAGATCAGAACTGAAAGAAATGGCATCATTTTCCAGTGTTCATATGCTGCTTGATGTTCCTTAATCTTCATGAAGGTTTCTTGTTTCCGATGAACTGAAAATGAAAATTTTGTCTAGATATCAGAGACGAGTGCGATACAAGGAATAAGGCAGCTAAACTTAGATGAAACATTTGAATTCACAGACAACATCAGCGAAGCAGATGTGTTACTAGCTTCGCAGTCCAAACTCAGGAAGAATGCTCAGCTTCAAGCTGCTGCAAGATCTCGTGGCATTCCGACTTATGTTACCAAGGTAACGCAAAAATTGTAGTGCATCAACTTTATTTTGCATTTCTATAATCACTGGCACACGTTACTCATAGGGAATTCTATGTCTTATATTATTAGATACGTATATGTTCTAGATATTTCTGTTTTTCTCGATGACTTTCAATGCTTATTATTATTATTACCAATATATATATTTCCTTTTTCTAAGCAGACGAGTTCGTTGTCCCAAATATCCAAGGCTGTGCAAGCTCTAATGTCTGACTATGCTGATGGTTTTGAATCCTATGAATCAAAAGTGAAGGCAAATGATGCTGAAAAGATCGATGCCTTAGAGGTAATTCTTTATTTATAGGCTTATACTTGTATGTTCAGTTTATGGCATAAATGCTTCACACTTCCGTCTTACGATAAATTGTCACAGTTTAATCCCGACTTAACTCAACAAAATTATGTCTCTTGTGTACAAAGGAAGCAAGAATTGCAATAGAGCAAATAGTTATTTCCAAGCGGGAGCCGGTTGATCTTCTACCTCGTGCATCTAATATCTTGTTGCTTCAAAAGGATCTCATTCGCAAATACAATCTTAAGTCAGAAAGATTTGTTTCTGAGGATGGTCTGCAGCATCTTCGAATCCTTCCTTTACCGAATGTGAGTGATGAGTTCGAAGATGCTGATGATGCCACAAGCCTTGGAAACTTCTATGGTTCAGCTGATGAAAGCAATGGGTCGGCATATTCTGTAGAAAGATTACCTCTCCTCCCGGACTAGACAACAAAAACTTGTCATCTGTTTCGACTCCAAATCAAAAGAGTAGAAAGGAACAGGTAACTTTCTGCTTTACTTTGATTATGTGCTAATATTTACACAATTTTCCCATGAAGTTTCAGATGACTGCTCGAATCAATTGCGATCATATCTGCATTTCTATGTTTCTTTAGGGTAACGTGATATTGTCACTTTATGGTTGTCTTTATATTACAACAGAGAGACTAAGGAAACCGTGACAAATTCACTCACTCACTAGAAAACAACCACCACATGAATTGGCAAGTATTTGACTTGACCTGTTAGGACATTTTTATTGATACTGCTCTTCTTTCGGTTTGTTTATATGATCATTTTAATGATACCAACTACCAAAGAACACACTTTGAAAGAACAAGATAAGAATAAATATGCTAGTGCCCCAAAAAGTAGTTTTCTAAATCAGTTGCTACATTTTAAATTCTTGTTTGGTGTTCTTTTCCACTCGAAGCTTTGTGATGTAGTGTTTGGAATCATTGTTCATAATTTCAAAAGTCAAACCTCATATATATATACATAATCAGTTTGTTTAAGCACTATCCTCAATGTGGAAGTGCCGAAAGATTGCCATGTTTGCCGGTGATGCATGAAATCATTTTGATTGCTACATAAAAAACTTTGATTTGTTTTGCTACATCTTCCGGTATTGGATTCGAGTAATATGATGCGATTAGTTTTAGGTACGAATTCGAACATGACACTTCACACTTTGTGACTATCAAATGGCTGAGATGTATCGATAAATCTTGATGAGATTTGCATATACTGAGTGTGATTTCTCGATAATTTCTTAATAGAGTAATGCAATGTGTGTAGAATTTGGTGACATTTGCTACTTATTCTGCAAATTTCAAGTTTAACGAGTTCGAGACATTTTGCGAGTCAAATTAATATTAGGGAGTTATCTCACAACAAGATTGATCTTGTCTTACTATATTCAAGATTGTCGTCGTAAATTTGTCGCTATTCATCAATATTTTGCTAACAATTTGTTTTTTCAACGAATCTACATGACTTTCATGTTCTGTTTTTTTGTGTTTAGGTGGTTGCAGAAATGTCATTGGAGGCCGTACAATCAGATAAAGTTGCTGTAAGATTAATTATTCTCGACGTGTATATATTTATGTGTATACAAAACCGACCTCATAATTAGCATGGGATACCATCATTGTAAAGCATAGATTTAACTCATTATTTTACGGTGCAAATTGGTTATGTTTTTAACAAAATATATTACTATATATAATCGTAAAATACAAGCACACCCACCCTAAGCCATCCAAAAAGAACAGCCTAGCTAAGAGATATGTATATTTTATATTTTATTTTCTTAAAGTTTTGTTTGGCCTGCAATTTTTTAAGTAACTGCATATTGTTTTATTTTTTATGACGTCGAAAGTGAGCATTGGTTGGGTAAACTCCTAGGGAACCATGTGTAACAGGTGACCTGAGGTGTCGGGGTTTGAACTTATAATCTTACGGTCGCAAGTTCTACCTCTACACTACCGTACCATCTCTTACTGCACTTGTTTTATTGTCTTTTGTGTATATGCGTGATGAGTGCACATTTTGAACCAATATTTATATCATCGTTAGTTTTGTTTAATCTTTAAAAATGCATTATCACTAGCTGGGACCCATGTCCTCCACCTGATTTAGAAATCATTCTAATAATAATAATAATAATAATAATAATAATAATAATAATATGTATAAGCATAAGAAATTAATAATGATATAAACAAACTAATTGTAAGAGTTAGAAGAAAACATAATAATTGCACTTTAAAAGTAATTAGATTAACAATTAGAGTAGGGTTTAGGGTAATACCGCTATAATTATTTATTTTTATAATGTAGAAATCCTCAGCCGCTATTTGATAATATGCACGGATAAACTCTTGAAAACTTCGGACGTTTGAACGCAGGACTCTACCCCCATTATTTATTTATTACTGATAGATGTATAGTCAACAGCATATCCAGATTTGATCAAATTAGCATGATTGATTTGACTTCATCTACATATATAATATATAATATATAACATACATTATAATATAATATATATATATTTATAACATTATGTTTTTTATATAATATATATATATATATATATATAGTGATTGGGTCAAATACCGTGACAAATAAACTAAAACGTATATAAATAAATAAACCAGAATTACCGGATAAGAACATACTTATAAAATAAGTCGAAAAGTCGACTTTAAAACCAAAAATTAGTTTATATATTAATTAAGGTTAAAATAGAGTTATAATTAATCCGATATACGAACTTTTGACATAATAATAGGAGAGGATGGGCGGCGGAAAGTTATTTGATTTTTCCGGCATTAATATTCAAAAATATAATATTTCTTATATATAGGTAGAATAGTACCAAGATAAAAATGAAACTGAATACTATTAAGAAACCACTATTCATTATATAGGACCGACTCTCAGTAGGGCCGAAAAGCTCACAAAAAAATAAAATATTCTTTTCGTTCTTTTTTTTTTTTTTTAAAGTATAATATATATATATTGGATTTTAAAAAAATAATACTCCTTTTCTCACAAAATAATAGGGAGATAAACAATAGTATTATATTGATAGTGAATGTAAAAGTGTTTGTAAAAGACCAAAATGCTCATATTTTATGTAATTATTGTGAAAAAATGAGGATAATTTCGTGAAAAGGTTGGGGCTTATTACTAAAAATGAAAATTGAACTATTGTTTTGAAACAGACAAAAATAGTAAAATTAGACTATTATTTTGGGATAGGAGTAGTATTTTTATTTTATTGGATAGTTAGAAACAATGTGAAAACAACTTTATCTTTGCGATATAAAAATAATTTTGTGATAGTAAAGTAGAGGTACTTGTAGAAAATAGTGAGATCCAGAGTTTGTACAAAAGAAAATAAATATTTTGTAGTTGTATAATCCAAAATAGAAGTGTGTCTACTTTGTGAGTGGACGAAGAAGTATTATACTCACCCCTGTTCCATTTTAATTGACACGTTTGGTTAAAGACGTGTTTTGCAGGTTGTTGGGAGTGCAAACACAAATCCCACATTGGAATATTTGAAAAAAAAATAAAAAATCTCTCCTATAAACTTTACTAGTACGAGGCTTTTTTAAGAAAGTTTAAAAACAAATTCGTACATATTCAGTTCAAAACGGACAATATCTTGTGGTATATCTTTTACCGAAACTAATATTAATATGTGTATATGAAAAAAAAAAAAAAAAAAAAAAAATTTATGGAGCACCATGCATTGATCACTAGCCTTCCTTCTATATAAACCCCTACAATTCCTCCACATCTCTACCTCCTTCAATTTAGGACAACCTAATTCTCCATGGCTCGTCTAAGCTTTTGGTTCCACTTCGCCCTCATCATTGTCATCTTCGTCCCCGCCTTTGGCAATCGAGCAATTTGCGAATCGCGGCCACTTAATTCTCCACGAGATCAACAACATCATCAGAAATACTACGGCGCATTGGCGTTTGAAGTAAGATCAAAGAGAAAAATAGGAACTAATTGGTATGATCCGAATCGAGCAAGCCCCGGGGGACCCGATCCCAAGCATCACTAGAAAATAATTTTTCAGAAATTAATTTAAGCAAGGGGACATTTGCATGATTGTACAAGGGCCAAGAATTGTTGTTCTTCTCCTGTAAATTTTTTTTTAGTGCATCTTTGCTACATTATATTATATATACCATCAGAATTGTTACATCTTTAATTTTATTGTTTTTTTTTTTTTTTTCCATTAGGAGATCTTGAGGATTGCATATATATATATATATATATATGTAGAAATTAATCAATATGTATAATGTTTTCATGTTAACCCATGCTGTGTGATGCTGCAGCTCGTACGGCTTAAGCTTATTATATACATGATGATAACTTCAAATAAAATAAAATAAAATAAAATAAAATAAATTATATATGTGGACTATTAATGAAAGAAATTAGGGAAAGAATAATTGGAGATGTTTCCACTTTATATATGTATATGTATGAATACAATATAATATAATATATAAGCATCAATATTGAACAACTAGATCTCTACTAAAGGGTGTCTCGATTGGTCATTGATTTATTTATAATAAATTTCTTTTTGTTTGTATTTTCATCCCAAAAAATATATGAATGAAAAGGAGACTTTGGTACGTCCTTTATTTTGAAAATAAATAAATAAAAAGGAATTAATGTACTATCTATATATAATATGTGATAGTGAAATTTTAAATATTTGTACAAGTGGGTGTAACTAACTAAGCATATATATATATATACCTAGCTATTGTGCCCATGCATATATTAATACCAGTAGTATTGTTATATACATAAATATATATATATATATGTATTATATTATTTGTTCAACAATAATATTGTCAGATTATACTTAATACTTATAATTACTGGAGTTAAAATATAAAATTTATATTATATATATATATTCATTTATAAAAGTACTACGACTTTCTTCTTTTAATCAAAATTTTCTAATATATATTTTGAGAAAATTAATATATTATATATATTTATTGCTTTTATATTATATATATAATTCTCTATATTTTACGTAAAAAAAAAAATAAAATAAAATAAATTTCAAACCAATATACAAAACAAACACACACTTAATATTTATAGGAAAGACACAAAATTTTAAAATAAATTTAGAATAGTATCAAATTTCTTTAATAAAATTAGTACCATAAAATAATACATGACATGACATGAATATATAACCTAATAATAGGTCCGATCAAAAAATATATATAACCCAATAATAGGATATAATTGAATTGAACTTTAGTAAGATAATTAATTTAGTATCCGCTGAACAAGTTTATTATCAATGTATATTTTAAAAGAACACTTAGCACAAAATAAATAATTACATAAAAAAGAGAAAATTAATGGTAAAAAATTATATTTCTTCCGTCCCGCTACATATTATTATTATTATTATTTTTTTGTATCCATTTCATAAAAGATGATTAATTTCTATGTTTAGTAAATTTATCATCTTAAGCAATTATAAATCAATTTAATTACATTTCTAAGTTCTTACCTATAGGGTCCATTCAAAACTTTTTTTTTTCTTTTGTCCTTAATAAATAAATATTTTTATCTATATTTAATTTTTTTTATTTTTTATAAAATTAGTTTTGAACTAATTTCTTGTTTGAACTTGTTCTTCTATTTCCGTTTTCGTAATTTAAAGTTCTGCACATTGATTCCCCAAAATTCTAATAATTTCTCCGTTCTCCTTTGAACTTGACTTCACATTACTGGATTGAGAAACTTTTTGTGTTATTATTATGCGCTTACTTTCGAAACCAAGTCCCGGTAATCTTTCTATCTTTACCTCAATTTTCTCTATATTGATTTCTTAATTGTCTAATATTTGAAAATCATCCTGCCAAAATTAATGAGATTTTATTGAACATCCATATATATAAAAAAATTAAGTTAAATGTATAAAATTATATCGAGCATACAAAATAAAATATTGCAATAAATAAATAAATAAATAACATACATATTATTTTATATAAAAAAATAATTATCTATATAACTTAAGTAAATAAACAAAAAGTCTATAGACAACGACAACAACAATAATAATACTCCCTCTGTTCCCACTTTGGATATCTGGGTCACTGTAGACACGAGAAGTTAGGATAAATATAATTAGTAGATAATTAAGAATGTATTAGTAAAAATAATTATTCTATAATATAAATAATTATAAATTAATATTAAAATAAATAATTAGTTTAATTAAAATTAAAAAATATTTAAATTAGAAAATTTAAAATAAGATTAAAGTGTGTAATTATTTTTCAAAAAAAAGGAAAGTGACATGGAATGTGGGACGAACAGAAACGGCAATGTGGACATAGTAGGTGAGACGGAGAGAATAATAAACATGCAATAAACATATAAACTATAGGATTGATTTCAAGTTGGAAAGTTTGTAATTAACACAATATTTCATATTTTATATCAATGAACAAGAAATTTCACAATCACTTCAAAATCCTTCTAAGGACCACTCTATTGTTGATTTTTTTGTCATCCAATCATGACTTCGGATCTACCTGTCATATATGGTTCGCCTAGTGTGACTTGTCTTTGTCAGACCTAGTTTGCAAGATATTATGTTCGACCAGGAGTTTACCCAGAGTACATTCGGCTAATAGCGACCGCGGGTTCCCACGTTATCAAAATATATATTGTTGGTATATATTGTTGGTTTCCTGTCCTGTAAAGGATGCTCTAG